GGGGGGTGTGAGTACCAGGGATTGAACATAGGGGCACTTGCCCACTGAGGCACATCCCCAGAACTATTTTGTATTTTATTTAGAGACAGGGTCTCACTGAGTTTCTTAGTGCCTCACTTTTGCTGAGGTTGGCTTTGAACTCATGATCCTTCTGCCTCATGCTCCAGAGCCACTGGGATTACATGTGTGCACCACAGTGCCCAGCCTACATCCCTTCTTTTATTTCCCCAAATTGTCTGGGTAATAAATCTGAGTCATCATAAAATGGTTGGGAGCTAATCTGGGTCATATTGACAGAAGACATAAAACTGCAGACTTCAGGAAAAGATAACACATCCCACATGCCTGTGAAAACGGAGACAGGATCTGGAAAGGGCAACACCAGGAAGACAAGAAATGTCTTCCTCTTCCCAAGTCACAAATAAAAATGTCCATTTTTGACCACACCAGCCAACCAGAACTGGAAATGCCTTCAGATCAGCACTCGTTGTGCTATATTTTCAGGTGATGATCTGCTTTTGCCAGGAATTTAATGTTTTAATACTTTTTCATTTTATTTTTAATAATAAGCATGTATTATATTTTTATATTAGAAAACAATGCACATGCTGAAACATCAAAATGAGCCACTACCCTGAAGGAGTCAGAGTTTTACATTTTGTTTTCTATCCCTCCAGAATTCTCTCTGCGTATTCTCTCCCCTACCCACATTACCTATGTTTTTTAGGATGGCCGAAGTGGGAAGAGAGTCAGGGTTTTCCAGTGACATGCAGATAAAGTTAACAAAACACATCCTGTTAAAATGACTCAACTTGGCAGCAGCAGCTCTTGGTTGCTCCTATGAAGAGTCCTTCCACCATGCCTTTTTTTCTCTGACCACCACTGTGGAGCTCTCCCGGCCCCAAGCCTTATTCCTCCTCCAACCTGTGCACCATGCAAAGATGGAGTGTACAATCCCTGCATGGGGCCTCTTAGGTATTTCTGAGCCCTCTCCTCTCATCATCCCTTGGGGACATGAATTCAAGAACAACCAGGTACTCTCCCCAAAAGGAAACAATAAATGGGTTATAAGGTGAAGCAAATGTTATTCTCCTCTGACAACCTCATTTCCATTCACTAAATTACTGTAGCACATTAAAGTAAACACACTGGCCAATCCAGCGTCCCAGAAAATTGCCTTCCCTTGGGAAATTAGGCTTTTAGCTACTAGGAGAAAAAAGGGACTTTTCATATTTCCAAGAACAAAAAGATAATAACATCATCCTTAGCTACCATTTAATTAGTGTTTGCAATTCTCATAATTTTCTATTACCATTCATTTTTATTATCAGTTGGACTTTCTCATACCAGAAGCAGGGCTGAGACACCATAGACAGAGTCTCTAGTTTTACCCGCTGCCCCAGCTGATCCGTGTGGTCCATCTAGCTATCCACCTTATACAAATGCTCGCTGGTAACCAAGAGACAGGCTGTTCCTTTAATGCAGCCTGCATGACTACCCCACTGGACCTTATGCCCCACATAGACTGAGAAAATATGCCACGGTAACCACTTTTCAGTCACTCTGTGACCTCTTAAAATTTACATCTGCCTGCTTTAAACCCACCAATCAAAATTCCCTTAGGAAACCTGTCTGGAGGACTCTGAACATAGCAGAAGCATTGGGGTCCTTTTCCTTCTTCGTGAGTTTTTTGCATATATAGCTTCTGGGTGTGCCATATACTCCCCAGGACCTATAAGTAATAAAATTTCTATTTCCATCTAGTATCTCTCCTAATGATGGGAGAGGTGCTCTCCATTTAAAGACCCTAACACATCTATTACCTGTCTTATTCCACACTTAAACACCAGGAGGAAAGCAGGGCTTTGTTGACAGGAGCTTGACTTAGAGTTGGGTCCCTGAGTTCAAATCCTGTCTCTGCTGCTTAAAAACTATGTACCTGTGGGCAAGTTGTGTAAACTTCTTGTGGTTTACAATCTGAGTCTCTCAATGGGGAAGCAATACATTAGAAAGCTTAGAACATTGCTTAGTGCATAGTGAATGATCAAAATGGTTTCAATGATCATTACTATTATATTTCCCATTTAACAGATGAGAAAACTGAGGTTTAAAAGATATGTAATTTGCCCTACGTCAAGAGCTAATCTAGATTTTCTGACTTTAAAGGTCAGTCACTCATAGTGCTCAGTCATTAGTTGTCAACAGTAAACATCTAATAGGTGCCAGATTTTGAAATTAGAAGCTCTCTCTACACACCACGTGCCCAAAATGCAGAAAGCATGAGCTGCTGTGCTGTATTTCTATAGACTGCAAATACATATGATATATTGTTTTAGTGAAAAAGGAATTGTCATATCCAGAGTGTGCCTTGTGTAAAAAGCCTGATACACAGTCTTTGTGCCCAACCCTGCATACAACACAACAATCTCTCCTTTGTCTTTTGAGTCAAAACACTGGACCAGGCACTGTGTGGCTGTGTCTGCTCAGAAGAGGAAAGGGCTGTGCAGTCAGAAGCCGGTTTATTAGGGAAGGAGGGTGGAACTCCTCTCTCACCACCCCTGACTTGCAGGGTGGTCAAGTTGTGCTTTGAGCTGGAGCCTGCTCCTGTCTCCACAGGGACAAAGGGCCCTTCATTTCAGGAGCCCCAGCAGGACGCTTCAACAGTTCTGGCCAACACCTGTCCTTGCTGTGTTTTTCTGGTTACTTGCCTCTTTGTTCGTAAAAGAGAAGAAATGACAAGGAGAAAAATATGAGACCATCATGTAATGACATTTTAATCAATCAAAAGTTTGCTTATCCTGAGGCCTTCTATCTAGCTTGAGGTATTAATTTCCTGTGTACCAATATATTGTACTGTTAAAGGTGGTTTATTTTCACAGGAAAATGTACTCTGCCTTCCATTATTATAAACAGTTTCGGATTACCAGGCTAGTCTACTGAGGGAGATTGTCTTACTATCCCAATCATTCAGTGCCCCTTCCCTATAAGATTAAATTTCTACATCCCGTTGACATCAGGTTAGCTCATGTGGCTTTCTTTAGCCAATGAAACGTGAGAACAGCTGACACTTTCGGTCACAAGCTGTAAATCATCACATGGTTCCACCATTACTTTTTTCTCTCTGCCACAAGTACAGTAATGTTCAAGAGAGAGGCTGTTCCTTTAACTCAGGTCCTGGAACAAAAAAAGATAGTACAGCAGACCCACAACCAACCATAATACAAGAAGGATATATATTTTTATTACTGTAAGTCAATAAGATTTGGAAGTTGTTCGGTATTATAGCAAAATCTAGTGGATCCTGGCTACTATAACTACTAAAGCCTATTTTGACTAAAATACCATATATTAAATCAAAAATAGTATATTTTTGCAATCAGAAGTCATTGAAAATAATGCTTGCAATGCTCATAATCAAAATTTAAAAAAAAATAAAGAAATCAGGACCAGAGCCAAGGCATCTCTACATAATTGATATAATTCTTATTAGTATTCAAAATGCAAACTGACCTCGGGCATGGGGCATGTTTTGATGCCTCTGGGCACATTCAGGTCCCCTACACAGTGTAATTTTCATCCTAATCCTTTTTTTCCCTCTCCCAGAGTGCATCTGTGAACCAGAGAAATCATACTTCCTCTTTTTAGCAGCACATTCAGAGCTTTTGCTAGCCTCATGACCTATTCCTTTAAATGCATCCCAGACAAAGGCAACTGCAAAGCAAAAGCCAAATTCAATCCTGCCACATTGTGTTGGAGAGAAAAGGCTCAAAGGTTAACAAAAGACCTACACTTTACTCTTGCTGTTTCCTCTAAACTGGATTGTGGATATTTTTATTCTTTAATCATGTAAATCTATAGCCAAATCGACTGTCAGATCCATGTGTACACTGTTTCAGAATGGGAAAAGAAAGTTGAAGAACAAACAAGGGGAATGGTTATAGTCAAGAATTCTATTTTGGAAACATAGACTTTCAGAGAATGAATTAACATAAAGAAAATATGTCTGGTCAATCCAGTTCTTGGATGGAATATGAAAGAAAAAAAAACTAGCATTTGAAGGCTTATCCATTTTAATAAGAAGGTAAAGAAGATATGTGGATGCTAATACTGGTGATAAAGTGCAGTAAAGTTCGAAATAGCTCTAGATGCAGATTACAAACACAACACTCCCATTGGATTAGACAAAGGGGAATGAAGGGAAGGGAGGGGGAATGGGAAGAGGAAAGACAGTGGAATGAATCAGACATAACTTTTCTATGTTCATATATGAATACATGACCAGTGAAACTCCATGTTGTGTACAAACACAAGAAAGGGAAGTTACACTCCATGTATGTATGATATGTCAAAATACATTCTATGTCATATATAACTAAAAATAAAAAACACACATATTTATATGCTCATGTACACATTAAATTATGTAATGTATGTAATATCATATATTAATTATAAATGTACACATACATATATCCTCTGGGATTTACTCCAGTAACTACACTTTGAATTTCCTTTTAAGTTAGTCTTTAATGATAAAAGGATCCCCTTTAAAAAAAAATTTTTTTTTAGTTGTAGGTGGACACAATGCCTTTATTTTTATTTATTTATTTTTACGTGGTGCTGAGGATTGAACCCAGTGCCTTACCCATGCTAGGCGAACTTTCTACCACTGAGCCACAACCTCTGCCCCAAAAGGATTCCTTTTTATTTGTTAGACTCAGAGTTTAAGTGAGTAGTGTTTTCTGACAATTATGTCTCTTCTTGTACTCCTTACAAAGTGTCTGGTTTCACAGCTACAATGAGTAATGGCCTGGGCAGAAGGGCATGTCTGCTTGGATTAGTGGGATGAAGACAAATGAGAGGCCCACCCTGCATCCACGCTAAGCCCTGCTCCTAGCACAGACTTCAGAACTCACCAGATATTGGGTAAAAATGGAAACCTTCTCTGTGCTGTTGTCAGAGTTCATTCTCAGCAACCTCCCAAGTCTAGGGGAACTTACAACTGTGAAAGTAATAGATCTGTTTCCTGCGTTGTCTACATCATTGGTCACAGCTTTCAGGTCACGAGGTGAAAGAGGCTTCACAGAACCTAAATAAAGATTAAAACGTGAGTGCAAGTATAAAACATAGGAATAATGAAATAGTCTTTACAGACCCCTGACATCTCTTTCAAGAGCATATGATTATAAAAGAAGGACTGAGGAATTCAGCTTGAAATTGAGTTGCAAGGGGCTAGTGATCCTTGAGGCATCTATTCATGGGCATGAGTGGCTACTGGGGACCCAGGAGAAATCAGCTTCTCCTCTCCCCTCCCTCAGCCCAGCCTCGGTGTCCAACTGATCCCTAGAGAAAGAAATCAATGCCAGGGCCCGGATGGCCCCTTGGCTCAACATATGTGAAGGAAAAGCAGATTGTGTGGTGCTGAGAACATAAGAGACAGCACCTCCCCTGGCAGGGTGCAGGGGTCCCAGTCTGATGGAGCTGCAGGTGCTCAATGGAGTGTCCTCCATCTGCTGATACCAGAAGGAGGAGTTGGCTCGGGATTAAACACCAGAAATGTCCATGCATGAGCAAAGGGCTGTGTGAAAGCCAACTGGGAAGAACTGGTGACACATGGGTTTTGATGCTATTATACCTCATTGGTAACCATTGGCCAGAGAGGCTTGGGAACACTCAGGCTACAACAGTGGTTTTTCAATGATTTGTGGTAAAGGATCAACATTTTCTTCCCATTCCAATAATTTTATAAAATACAATAAAAAATGTCACATTGCTATAAAAATTTCTAAACACTTCCTTTTGCTTTTCATTCTTATTTGCTCACAGACTAGAACATCCACAGACCACACTTGGAAGAGCAGAGTCTGAGTGTATTTCCCATTACTTTGCAGTGATTTAGAGAACATCCCAACCTTATAGGAGAAGAGGTAGAAACCAGATTTACATCATTCTTCTGGCCAGAATCTTACCTCATCTCTTCTGTTTTAGCCCTTGCTAAAGGGTTTTTTTTTTTTTTTTAGCATTAGCCCTCTGAGAAGGCCCTTTATAATTTATGAAGTTGAATCGATCTTCCAGTAGTAACCAAGCTTCCTGAATGACATCTTTTTTTTTTTTTTTGCTTTCTTTATTTAGCCTTTATAATCTTAGAGACAAGGGCCACCAAATGTAGTGTTTAAACCACATTAGGCATTTGCAGGAAGTCAGTTCAGAGTCAGGATAGCTTCCAAATTTGCAAGGATTGTTTTGAGCCCTCAGTTTGGAGGGTCCATTTATTTCTTTTTTCTTTTTTTAATTTAAAAAAAAATATTTATTTTTTAGTTATAGTTGGACATAATACCTTTATTTCATTTATTTTTACGTGGTGCTGAGGATCGAACCCAGGGCCTTGCACGTGCGAGGCAACCGCTGTATTGCTGAGCCATGATCCCAGCCCTGGAGGCTCCATTTAAATTACCTCAGCCCCTTGAGATAAGCACTAGGTCATAGGGTTCCTGGGGATGAGGGTAGGTGAGTCTGTGAAAGCCAGCCTCAGGAACATAGTTCCACCACAAGTTTAGGTCTGCCTTGGCACAAGTTCAGTCTTTACAGAAAGCATCATGTGATGTTTGTAACTGTCTCCCACATCCCTCGTACTTCATGCTGCTGACATTTTTGCAGTCATTGCCACTTCCTGGTTTCTGGAGCCAAGATCAGGCAAGCCAAGAGGAGTCTCTGTGTCCCTGGTCAGTGTTATAAAGCTCTACTGGGTCCCTTCCTCTGTTTCCTGTCAATGTGGGGTCCTTCCTATCAAATAGATTATGTCCCTACATGTGTGGGTTCTGTGCACTCCAATATCCAACTTCTCCATCCTCAGTTTTTCCTTGCAAAAATTTCCCACGATGCCCTTTTCATTACTATCTTCTTATAAAGGATCCTAGCTTATAATTCCCTTGTTCCTTTACCCTCAGCATTACCTCTGAGGCAGGGGCAAAGTTAACAATAATCTTTTTTCTGAAAAAAGTTATTTTTCCGTACAAAAGGATATGAAATCAGTATGGCAAAAGGTATTTACACCCCATGTTTATTGCTCTTCAAAATATGTCAAGATATGGAATTAACATAATTGCCTATCACTTGATGAATGGATAAAGAAAATGTGGCACATATACACAACAGAATACTATTCAGCCCTAAGAGAAGACGGGAAGGATGGGGAGATGGGGACAGAATGGTTAGAGCCAGGTACAAGAATAAGTTCTGGTATATTATTACACAGAAGGGTGATTAAAGAAAATAATTTGATGTTATATAGTTAAAAATCCCTAGAAGAGACGATTTTGGGTGTTTTCATCACAAAAAAAAAATGGTACACATTTTAGATGATAGATAACCAAAGTATCCTGCGTTGATCATTACATAATGTGTAAACGTGCCAAGGCATCACACTGTATCCCATAAAATGTATAATTATTATCCGTTCACTAACAAATCAATTTAAAAAGCATTATTTCACTCATCGTAGCCTTTTGGAGTAGAAGACTCACCGGTGCTGTTTCATACCAAGATGGCTTTCTCTCAGCCAGGGCACGTCAACCTCTCATTGTCTTCTCCAGCTACCTAACCCAGGAGGACACTGAGGCTTAAGTCAACAACAGTTTGCCCCATGCCAAAACTGCCAGGTAAGTGTTTCTTACTGCTCAACTCAACTCACCCAAAGCCAAGCATTATTTCCCCCACCTGCCTTATTTCATCTGCATAGTTGATATTTCCATCATGGAGTTCCAGGCACTTACTTTGGGAAGGATTTCCACATAAATCTTTATCCACAGAATAACAGTCCCACAAGGGGTAGGATCCTAACAGTGCTCTCTGGCACCGCTGTGGCAAGTCCTTACTCCCCTCGTACTTCTTGGAGATAGGAAAAGCAAATCAGCATGTTATCACCTCTGGGAAGCCTCAGAGTAAAGAAATCTGTTTTCTCCTCCTTTTAAACACAGCATTTCTCAAACAACACTTGTACCCCAGTTCTTTGTTTCATTAAATAAACTAACCACCACCAAAACAGATCACTAGACTTAGAGGTTTTACATATTTCTTCCACAAATATCTCAAATATCTAAATGTAAAAAGCCCTACAACAGGGAACAGAGATACACCAGTCTAATCTGTATATCTCTAATCTGAAATCCAATATCTGAAATGCTCCAAAAATTTTGAGCATCAACATGACCCCACAAGCATAAAATTCCACACCTGATCTCATGTAATGAACTATGGTCAAAATAGAGGCACATTAAAGATGTTGTATAAAATTATCTTCAAGCCATGAATATAAGATGTCTATAAAATATAAATGAATTTCATGTTTAAACTTAGGGCCCATCCTCAAGGTAGCTCATTATGTATGTGTCAATATACCAAAGTCCTTAAACTCTAAAACACTTCTGGTCCCAAGTATTTCAGATAAGTGAGAGTCAACTTGTATCAAGAAACAGCAGGGACACAGTTCCTGCCCCTTCTTTTAGATACCATGATAACTGTAAGAAACGTGTAGTTGTTTGTTTCATCACGAAGAAAGGATGATAAGCTTGGGGAGACTAAGAAACTCGTAAATCCACTTACAATTGACTCAGAAGTGAGTATGATTTATACACTCAACACTGTGTTGCCTAAATAGTTCTACTTTGAACTCAGTGGGTGAAATGATATCTAACTTAGGAAATCCTGTAATTAAGCAGTCACTCTCTCTGAGAGATGGTTCTCTCCACCTTCCAAACCCGTCCTTCTCTTCTTTATTCTATACTTTGCAGCCTGCTACCCTCCCTGGCCTGCTCATTCTACAGGGGCAGGTCAAGGTGTGCCTTGAGGAAGAAGCTCTCCCAGTCAATGGAAAATTCCCCTTCTCTGAACCCATGCAGCCCACTCCATGTGTGCCATTCACTACAACTAACCATGATATACTTTGCATGAGTACTACACTCCTAAGTAGGGGTTCTTATTTCACCAATTAACAAGCCTCTAATTATTTACTTAAGAATGGAGAATCTTTTCTTACAATTCTTGGTTATCTCTAAGTCTTACAATATTCAGTGTTTCAAGATCCACTGATTGAAAAGATTTTATGAATCTGTGCTCTAAACCCTACAGCAACACACAATAAGTCCTTTCTCCTTTTTCCTCTCCCTTAATTCCTACCACAGAGGATAGATGGGCCTGTTGATGAGATATCATTCCCTTTCTATAAAGACCAGGGACTGAAGACACAGAGTTTACCAAGAAGACCTTTTGCTGATGGGCTGCTTAACTCTGCATCAATGTAACTTTATATTCTAAATCGTTGTAGCAAAACTCTCAAAGTCAATCCCTCTAACACTCAAGACCGCACTCTTGAAAAAGAGCCAAGTACAACTTGGACACACAGAAAACCTAGATTCTAAGGTCAGAGTATATTCCAACATGCCACCACTAAAGATAAACTCAGTGGCATTATTCAATGTGAAAAAAATGGTTATAAATTTTTTTTTCTGGGAAACAAACTTTTCACAAAGAAACAGAACTTGTTTTAAATATATATATATATATATATATATATATATATATACACACACACACATATATATGTATATATATACACATATGTACAAAATATGTACACATGTATGCATTCACACTATATGTACATATATTGTACAGAAATTCCTGCACATTCATATTCAAAATATATATAATAAGTTAGACAAGATGGTGCATGCTGTAATCCCAGTGCTCAGGAAGCTGAGGCAGGAGAATCTCAAGTTCAAAGTCAGATTCAACAATTTATCAAAGCCCTAAGCAACTTAGCAAGATCCTGTCTCAAAATAAAAAATAAAAAGGGCTAGGGATGTAACTCAGTGGTTAGGTGCCCTGGGTTCAATCTCTGGTGAAAAAGAAAGAAAGAAGAAAGGAAGAAAGAAAGAAAGAAAGAAAGAAAGAAAGAAAGAAAGAAAGAAAGAAAGAAAGAAAGAAAGAAAGGAAGGAAGGAAGGAAGGATGAAAAGAGAAAAATGTATATGTATGTATATGTATTACACGTGTAATACATATAAATATCTGCATGTATTATCTATAATAC